TATATATATATGCAGTCGGCTTTGTTCAACAAGTACGTCTGTCGACGTATACGTTCATTTATATGCGTTTCATATGTAGTCGCTGCTCCTATACTACGCAGCTGCGGACGAATCGTTTCGAACTACGCTCGAGTGTACTTGGAGTACAACGCCTAACTCTAAACACACCCCACTCTCATACTAGGAACCAGCCACACACACAGGAGATACCGACGACGACGACAACAACAACAACAACAACAACGACAGCAACAACAACGCAAACGAGCTCGAGAATGGAGTGAAGGAGAAAGACAACGCACAAGATAACAAAAGGAATGCAGACGATGATGAGAGCAGCAGTGATGGTATGAGCACATCCTCCAGTAGCAGTGGCAGTGATAGTAACAGTGACAGTGATGGGAACGAGGAAAACGATGATATGATTGGCTCGGGCGATGAGGAGGATGATTATAAATGCGATCCTATTGGATCAGGGGTGGACGCTGATGGGGATAGGGAGGATTCGATTGGTGGGATGAAGGACGAGGTAACGCGTTCTGCGGATGTGGACGCTATTGGCAAAAGGAAACACGGCGACACAGACGACGACGATGATGATAAAGATGAGGGCAACGATGCCAAACGAGCCAAGTGATAAATAAACCAAACCCTAAAACCCTACGAACCCTAAAACCCTATGAATTCTAAATCCCTACGAACCGTTGATATCTATGAGCAAGTTTGCCATGACTCTCTCGCATTGTCCTGTGAGTCAGTGAGTGTAGGCCAAATCCTGCTCACTTAAATGACTACTGCGCTCCTCTCATATCCACAAAAGGTGAAGAAGTGTTGGCTTGCTTCTTATATTAAAGTGGTGATAGTATCCCGTGAGATCTCAAACCCTAAAACCCTACGAATCCTAAATCTCTACGAACCCTAAAACCCTACGATAAAACCCTAACCTCCTTAAACCCTACGAATCCTACGAGCCCTAAAACCCACATATATGTGTGATGTTTGAGCATTGAAAAGCCTGGATTGGGATAGAATAGCACTAATATCAGGAATGTATTTTGTATATAGTATCTTATCATGTAATGACATGAACGGACCATGCACACATTCAAAAGGTCTTCCACTGTATATGTCTTATCCTATAATAGCATATAAACGTACCATGCACGCATTCAAAAGGTCTTCCACTGTATATGTCATATCCTATAATAACATATGAACATCCCTTTTAAAGAATACCCGCTGATCTGAGTGTACACATTACACTAGCTGTGGTGTATGCACCCGCTCCTTTCTGCTACTTGTTTGTGCTTGAAACACCCTCTACCACTGGTATCCGAGTAGGTACAAGTAGGTATAAACCTCAGTATCATTCGCATACGAACAACGCCTGCTGGACCTTTGCAACTCAGACTCGCGCAAAGAAAGAAAAAACCCAAATACCTACCAAAACCCAACAAAAAACCTACCAAACCCCAATACAACACACTGCCGAGCGGTCGGTTGCTTATAAGTCACTACTGAGTCGCTAATTAAAACATCAGTCATTGGTCATTGGCTCAGGGATACTCCGAATATCCTATTTATTCCCTTTTCCCTTTATTAGCATCCTCTAGCCCAAAGAAAGCGCAGCAAATGCATTACCACCACCACTCTTCTTCGCTCCTCCAGTAGTTCGGCTGCCAGAGCCCCCTTTCTTGGCCCCCGCAGTAGACCACCCAGACCCCCCCCCACTCGCGGCACTAGTCCCAAAAACTGAACTAGCCGGTGCCTTCTTCTTCTTGCTACCGCCCAGAGTCGCCTTCAACGCGCGCACCCGCTTGTCCAGCTCGGTATCTGTCTCGAATATCTCCTGAGACATCTGTTGCAGCGTCTCTATCTCCTCATTCACCGCAGGCAGTTCGTTCTGCAGCCGTCGCATCTCTTCAATAGTCTGCGCACTCTTGCTCTCTATCTTCTCCAGCTCGCGTTGTTTGTGATACGCGGCTTTGAGACGGTCGCCCTGACTCAGTGGAAGTCCCTGTGTGTGGGCGTGTAGTGTGTGTGTGAGTGCATCTTTTATGTGGCATAGTGTGTGTACGTGTGTAGTGTGCGTGTGTACATGTCTCACGTGACAGCATATGTGAGTGACTGTGGTAAAGGGTGTGTGTGTGTACATACGCATCTCTGTGAGTACAAGGTCAGTGTTGATGTCGGCTTGTGCACACACAGTCGTGTCTGGTGTTGGACTATTGTGAGTTGTAATGAGCCTCATATGACGTGCACAGCCCACTATGTGCACTTCACTGTACCACCCTGGATCTCAACCACACACCCCCACACGCCACTCAAGTCAACCCGTTTGTATGTATGCCTATATATATATATACACACACACGTGTATATGTACACCCAAATAAATACACACAAAACCGTACAGACACCACGCACACACACGGATAAACACATACCGGCGAGGGCTCCATGTCTTCTACCACAGCCTTGTGTATTGCTTCGTTCTTGCTCAGCATGTCCTGTATCTTGGCTTGTTTCTTGGCGTCCGTGGTAGCGGCTAGCTTCTCCTTCATGAGCGCTAATAAGGGTGTAAGGTCTTCTAACACACTCTCCTTCTCTGTGGCTGTGAGTGCGGGTATGCCCTTCTCGCCCCCCTTCTCGATGTGGTCTTTGAGCTGTTCCTGCAGCCATTTAATCTGAGAATATGTACACGTGTGTCAGTGTAACGGTTCATTGGCAAGGTATATGTACACACGTGTGAATATGTACACACATGTGTAAGTGTAACGGTTCATTGACAAAATGTATGTACACACGTGTGAATATGTACACACATGTGTTAGTGTAACGGTTCATTGACAAAATGTATGTACACACGTGTGAATATGTATACACGTGTGTTAGTGTAGCGGTTCATTGACAAGGTGTATGTACACACTTGTGAATATGTACACACGTGTGTTAGTGTAACGGTTCATTAAAGGTGCATGTACACACGTGTGTTAGTGTAGCGGTTCATTGACAAGGTGTATG